ATCTGTCAAAATGTCTAAGTCTGGTGTTAGGGCCAGAGGAAAATCAGGCTAGTTTAAACAAAAAAATGACTCCAAATAAAACCTTACAATGATCGATATGGCAGTTTAAAATTGATGCCCTCATACAATGGCTTGTAGATCAATATTGAGTCAGTTCAATTTTCAGCATGTAAATCATAATTATTGATTTATTCCTTTAATGTTATACAATGGTAAATTGTACCTGAGTAATTATGTCCATGGCCATACGGGTTGTTACATTTTCCAAATATCTTTCTATTTTCTTCGTCACTTAGCTGTGTGCTAGGAACAAGAAAAACATACAATTTAATGTAACAAATATACATATAAATTTCAAAGAAAGCTATTTGAATGTCCATCCAGACTTAATACTTTGATTTCAATCCTTGCAAATTGCATTCGTTTGGTTCTTTGGAAATTGGTGCCATGACCAGGATTTAGTGAAAAGTTTTTTTTTTCTTTCTATTGAACAAAGTACATACATACAGATATAAAGTATGTCAGTCATACCAATTATGAAAAAAAGGAAAACATTTATTTGACATTTTAGATTTGATTAACCCAAAATCTTTCTAACACTGATAGCAACTGAGATCATATCTTGGGACTGGAAATCTGGTCCAGTTTTAGAACTATACCACTTACAGTTTTTGCTTTACTCAGGGTATGTGCAATCAAGTCAGGAGTTCAGAAATCTTTTATTCTTGGTCCATTGCATTGTTTCTTTTTTGGTTTGCTTTCCTTCTTACAAATTGGTGCTGTGACCAAGATTTTAGTTTGAAATTTTTTGTTTTTTGTTTTACTGGACATACAAACACCATGACACACAATAACCATGTTTTGGAAAATAAATAATGACTTTTTGACATTCATTATTTAAACCAAAGAATTCCTAAATCTGAATAAATGAGTTACCTGGTCACTGAAAATGGAACCAGTAAAAGAACACCACAACCCAGTTTTTCCCATTACAGTAAATTGAGAGTATGTCTATAGTTCAGAATTCTTTGATTTCAAACCCGGTCTATTGCACTTTATCAACCTGTTACAAATTGATTCTGTGGATTTTGTTTAAAATTTATTTCTGTTGTACATGGTATATGCACAGTACAAAATGTTATGTTCAGTGTTAAGACTTTTTGATTTCTTTAATTTTCCCACTGTCTTTTTATGCCAATATACTTCATTTAGTTTACATTTACTGTTAATGCTGAAAAAAAAATATCTGTAGGGAATTTCAGTTAAGGAAATTCTTTTAGCTTAAAGATGTTTTAACAAATCAAAGCAAAGTGAACCTGGGAATAAATATACCCATGAAAAAAACCCAGTAATTGTTATCAATTATAATACAAGTGCCAGCTGATTTCTAATGCTAAAGGATCCTTGTCCATCCTCAGGCAAAACACTAGAGACTATTATTCCACTGTAGCATATGATCCAGTAATCTCTCTTCAATTTCCTTTTTTATTTTCAAGTTATTCAGAGTTAAGCTTTAGAAAAAAAAATAAACACAGTTATAATATATAGTGATCTGAGTTACTGAAAAAAATCAGCATCAACAATTTCAAATGAAATAGATTTATATACATACAATCGTACATATAAATAGATCACACTCATTATCCACAACATAGTATACCTATATAGAAAGTGAAGTTGTGTCTCATTTTTGTTTGTAACAATGATCCAATTAGAAATGTCTTCATGATCAGAGCAAATTTTGTTGAGTTTTTTTTTTCAAATAAAAATTTCTAATTCTAAGCGTCTAATAAAGTCAATGGACCATGGAATACAGTTCACACTCAGCATCCGCAGCTTATAATGCAGATTGTGACTGATGCAGTGTGTCATCTGTTACTATAAGCTTAGGATGAATACCCTAGCTAGCACATAAACCTTTTAAAGTATTGTTTACCTCTATATTAAACGAATGTTTAACATTGGAGGTAAATGTGCTTCTTCGTCCGAGACACAATCAAGCCCTATAACAGGGAGACAGAACAAAACATTCAGCTTAGTGCGCTCGTTTGTCTGTGACACAAATACTGCAACCACAGGTGTTTGCATTTTTTTATAACTCAATTTACGGTCAGAATTTCAAACACCTGTGCTGTAAACACTCACCTGTGTAACCTATGACAGGCAGAAAATGATTCTGTTCTACTGATATAAACAATTGGACTTTTCTGCTGTATTGTTCCATTCATCTTGAAACACGTGTTCTGTTGTTCAACGATTTAGGAAAGATAAAAAACCTACTGGCTATGCAGACTTGACATTTACAGCTCATTATTTTCGTCTGCAGGAATTCCTTTAATGTAACGCCAGATTTGATTGGTTGAAATTATATATGCTCACCCTATTTCCGGTATTCCCCGGATTGACTTCCGCGATGGTTTTGATTGGGTTGCTGCTGTCATAGTCGTGGGAATCCTGATGGATTTGACGTCTTTCGGGCTTAACTGGGCTGTGATAACTCTTTTGGCTCTTTCAGGTCTTCTTTGTATCGACACAGCAACTAATGGTATATACCTCTTTGTTCATAACACTGTCCAGGCACAGGGGCACGCAACTAACGTTACTATTAAATTTCATCTTGATAGACTTTCTGTGTACGTTATATCTCAATACATTGGGATATAACGTACCCAGCTGAGTGTAACAAGTTCAAAATGAATAGTAGTTGTATGCCCCTGTGTTCCAGATGAACAATTGTGTAAAAACTGTACTGTTAAAATGTCCATTTTGATTTAGGTAACTTTGATATTTTTATAGTTTGAAAACATAGGTTGAGTTCAATTTTACCCCTATTTTATCCATATTATAATAGTCTAGGCAACTTTACATTATATTTACGACCCCATTTTCTATTGTGATCATTTTGTATCATTAATTGTCCATGTACGTTTGTCATCGTTTACATTTGCTATTTGAAGAGAGGAGCAGGGTGGGTGATGATGATGACGAGACATTTTTTAATAGAGCTACAAGCTACCAAGTCTGTCTTTGGGAAAAACTAGAAATGACCGCCACGACAGATCATGCATGATGTTATCTCAATTATCCGTGTTTATATATGGCCTGCATGGCCAAATATAGTATTTCTACTGATGCTGCCATGTTTACCACAATTTCCATATATTGGGTGATCATGACACCTATATATAGACGTCTGACCTAGAAAGACCAAGTTTCCAACATGTATGGGTAGAACATGCTGGATGACATTTATGTGACCTTGACCTTTGACCTCTGTAACATTGTTTTTAAAAGTGTGAAATGGTGCAATTGTGCACAACACGATGGTTTCTATTTTTGAAAGCTTTGAAGAGAAAGATTGCATCATAGGAATTACTGCATTGTACATAAATATTTATGTAAATTTTGTTATTTTAGAAAATAGTGCAGGTCCCACACCATCCTCGCCTGTAGAAAATGGTGCTTCATCTCAACAGCAACTAAATGTTACAAATTCTGTTGGGCCATCTTCAGAAGACCAAGTTTCTTCTGGGAATCAAAATGAGTTCTGCCCTGATGGAGTCGAGTGTCACAAACTAGGAGCCGAATGCATTAACTGTAACCTCAACACAAACTGCCAGTATGGAAGTAAAGAGACGGCTCAGTGCACTGTGAAGAGTGAAATTGATTGTACAGTAAGTTTTGTTTTTGCCATTCTGTTGCCTTTAGTATACAAAGTTAAACTAATCAATAGATAAAGATGACCATGACAACGTTTGATGAGTCGTCATCAGAACAAATTTTAAATATAAGCAGTTAGGAATAATGTAAAAAAGGCGTTGCCTTACTTACTGACAGTCACAACAAAGCTAATATAAAGGACGTAATACCTAGAGGGGTGATGTTCTTTGGTTGTCTAACCTGAGGCTCTGCCAAGGGTTAGACAACCAAA